ACGTCATTAATTCAGCAACTGTACAGACATCACGATTGGTCGTGCGTCTTTTACGGTTGCATTCCGACACGAGGCTGACGCAGCGCCCGGCCACTGTGCCCGTGTTCCGCGTGAAACTCACGGGCGTCACCATTCTGTGACTGTGGTGACTTTGAGCATGGTGCAAGTGACGCTTGAACGCGGTTGCTCTAACGTTGAGATTACAATGCTGGGGGTGAGTATAACAAGCGGAACAGAAAATGTCTTTTAATATGCACATGCAACTTGTTACTGTACAAATACCGAACAAGAAACTCCGTATGTGCACATGGTCCTCATTGCGTCTTGCTGGGCACAACAGTTTCGTCCGTTGCCACAAGCAGGAGCACTGCCCGGCCGCCACTGACCTGCAAGGCGTTCGTCGCCGTTCCGCTTCGTCATGGTGCCCAACGCAATTTCGCTCAACACTTTAAATGCTTCATCCGCGTCATCCGCCGCACGACACATGTATATGCGCTCGTTCTACGCACTACTCAGGTTCCGTAGTGGACGAAAGGTTTTGTAAATGTTGCTAAGAGTACAGTAACTGCCAGGAGAACACTGCGTCACCAACAACGCGGCGCAGAACACGGATATTGTCCGCCACGGCTCAGCAGGAAACCTGTGGAGGCACACATGCCGCCGCCAGCCTCGGCCGCTCACTGCTAGACCAGCTTCACAGCGCAACACGTAACCATAGCAACGCCGCCATTGTGTCCAGTGAATATGGCCGCCATGATGTCATTTCCTCCACACTTTTCACGTGGCGCGCCGGCTGGGCATGCCCTCTCCAATTTTTCCTTCCGCTGTGGGTTATGATATGGTAGCTAGCCACCATAGTTAGGGTCTGCTCACTCATGGCAAGAGGAGACACTTGTCGCATTCGTCATGTCCGGCCACGGCTGGATTTCGCTTCTGCTCTCCGTGCATGGCGGGTTGGCAGTCGCATTGGACAAAAAAAAAATGAATCCAGTTTCCCGTGAAAGGTGCACGAACTGCGGAGCATTGTTTCTCTTGCGGTTATTGTCTGTCAACTAATCTTTTAAATTCTCTCATGTTGTTTTCTCGTGTTTACGGGCTTTTTTCTGTTATTTACGCCTTAATACGTGTATTTTATATATTTCTTGTGTTCTATTTTCGTTTTATATATCCTTTTGTATCCTTTTCAGCGCAAATCTCACTCGAGGAATGTAAGATAGGTGGTCGTCATAAGCATCCACAGTAAAGAAAAGAAAGAAAGAAAGAAAGAAAGAAAGAAAGAAAGAAAGAAAGAAAGAAAGAAAGAAAGAAAGAAAGAAAGAAAGAAAGAAAGAAAGAAAGAAAGAAAGAAAGAAAGAAAGAAAGAGTGTCGTCAGGCACACGATACTTTGGTTGCCCCCCGTTTTTCTAATGAGGGAAAAGCTCCTAACGTTTTTTAAAGACGATAGTCTTTCTTCGGGACCTTCGACGCCAAAACTTTGGTCTGTCTGTCTGTCTGTGTGTCAGTCTGCCCGTCTGTAGATTTGTCCGTTTGTCCGTGCTAACGATATCCTGAACGGTACCCAACGATACGTCTAACAGCCAACCCCATCCGCAGCGCCCACCAATATTGCTCAAGTTTCAGCGTTGATACTTGTGCGATTGTCAATTAAAAATCAATTATTGCGCATATCTGAGGCACCATAAAAACACGTCGATGTTTTGTATGTGTGCCTTTATACTGGAGAAGGTACACCTAAGTAATTCTAAGGACCGCAGCGTTCATCAAGCAGCGCTAGCAGTTGCAACGCGATGCTCAAAAAGGCAAGTGTTTCCAACGCCTTGCTAAGACATAGCCTCCTATATTTTTTTGTGCCCGCGCATTAGCGCTAAATACATACGCGCCATCCGTCCCTTATAGTTTTGGCGCTCGCCGCCAGATGCCGCACCGATCCCATAATAACTAAAGCCCCTAGATGTTGGAAAGTAGCGACGCTCTTTTATCCACGCCGGCACTCTCTCGGCGCGCCGGCAACCTCCTCTTTTTTCACCCCCTCTTTCGCGGAGCCCGCGCATCCCAAGCGCTGATTGGCTGCGGCGGGCGATACCGCCCAGTCAGATGACCCTGACGTCACGAAAAGCGCGCGCAAGCAAACTTCGCGCGCTTTTCGTCAATCACGCACGCCATGAACCCTCCAGGCGCCACGCCAGCCCTGCCGCTCTGAACGTGTTTTTTTTTTTTTTTTGCGTAGAAACGTGAGCTTTGTTTTTTGTGGCAATGCCTGGCTGTTGCGCGTATCAGTGCAGCAGCAGGTCAGAGAAAGGAGTAAGATTATTTTATATCCCCCGAGGAGATAGGAATAGGAATGCCGTGCGCAGAAAGCAGTGGATCCACAACATCGGGAGAAAGGACTTCGCCCCTTCTAAACACGTCGTTCTTTGCGAGGTTAGTGTTACCGATTTCGTTAAATCTCTAGATAAAGCCGTACGAAGATTTTAATGCTCTTTGCATCGCTGGACTCTCCGTTCAGTTTAATAGCGAGCACATATAAATATGGATATAGCTGGGTCTGAATGAGTCGCTGAGCTTTTTTTGTAATTCTCTGTGCCCTGAGATAGTTTTCTTGTGTTTTAGCGCGTGCGTTAGTTTTCTTAATGTGTGTAATTTGTAAATTAACGTGTGTAATTCCTACGCATGTGTGTGTGTGTGTGTGTGTGTGTGTGCGTGTGCGTTTATGTGTGTGCATGTGTGCGCCTGCGTGTATGCGTGTGTGTATGTATGCGACTGCATATGCGCGCTTATGCGTGTGTGTATGTGTGCGCCTGTGTGTTCGCGCGTTTCTGTACGTCTGTATTCGCGCGTGTGTATGTGCTTGTGCGGACGTGTGTGCGTTCGTTTGTCTATGTATTCGCGCCGGTGCGTGTGTGTGTGTGTGTGTGTGTGTGTGTGTGTGTGTGTGTGTGTGTTCCGCGTTTGATGAGGCAGCTAAGGCTTTCGTCTTAATAAGTCAATTAACAACCGCTCAATGATATCTTGGCAGCAGCCGTAAAGTAAATAGCCATACGCGCGGAAGCAAAGTTACGTATCTGGTATATGTATGTATTATGCGTGTATGCTCATGCAAAGAAAGAGCCACGTACGCGCTTTTCGTAATGGCTCTCTTCTGATAAACTTTACATCCTGAATTCTGTGAGTTAATTATAGCGTAACATAGTCTTAGAAGCTTCCATCTGAGCGGTGGGTTTTGCTTTTTTTTTAACAGACTGAGGTAAGTCCCAAAGTTAATGGAATGCAATATCTCGTCGTTTCATCGTGATGGAAGCCAGGCACGCACGGTGACTTCTATGCTTGCTTTTCGCCAACACAACATGAATTTTACAAAGCGTCACTGCAGCACTTATCAAGTTCTCGTCTATGCAATGTGCTGCCTACATTACATGCGCTTAATACACATCCGCGTTACAGACAGCCGAAGCGGCGACGGAGAGGTAAACCGCTAAGCCGCCAGCTGGTATGCTCATTTTTTCGAAGCGCTTCCGCTCGTATTTATCGAATCGTCTTAAAAAATATGTCTGCCATAATGTTCTATGGGAAGCCTACTTTCGTCATGACTCTTTCTTAAGGGACATATTCTCGTATAATGCTCCAAGGAGCCGATTAAACAAGCGCGCGCATTGAATCTAATGCGGCTGCAGCGAGCCAGTGGAGGGTTCAGCGTGCCGTGCGCACCGCGCCGGCCGGGAGAGGGGAGAAATCCGAGGAGAATTGAGGAGGAAAACGCGCGTGCGGAGGAGAGTGTCGCTACTTTCTAGATCTAGGGGCTTTAATAATAACAGCAGACGACGCGGCCTATGCACGCTTGCGTTTATGACGGTCTAGAAACCGTCTACATTGCATTGGATTATGCGTATACGTTAAGAAGTGCGCACACACCAAATTTTTAACACAAGCACTGTATGCAGAATGCAATGTGAGCTTTGTTATTTGATTTCGCGCTCAAAGCTTGAGCACTTTTCGAGACAATGGTTTGACATGAAAATCTTTTGCCAAGTCGTGTTTGTCAGTCACACTCGTCGCGAAGTTCAGAAAAAGTGGGCGGAGAAACTTCACGAGCACAACCTCCAAAAGTTTTTTATGATGTCCCGGGGTCGAGCACTTGAGTTTGTCACGTTTCTGTAGTATTTGCGCGGCGTTGTCAACGGCAGCCTTCAGTGGCTGATTCATCTTTCTCGCTCTTGCGAGGAAAACTTCCGCGTAATTCTTTAGAGAATTTAGAACCATTACGAGCTCAGTTGACGGATACAGGAGTACACCTGGGTGGATATCTCCACATTCAATCAGAACATGCTCCGCCGTTTCCTTATCTTTCCCGCAGCATGTGCATTGTTCTTCTTCTTTACTGAATCTTGCTTTATAACTACGCGTTCTAAGGCAACCCGATCTCGCTTCAAACAGTAAAGCGCTTCCCCTTGAATTATCGTAAAATGCCTCCCTCCTTATTTCATTTTTGCCCTTTCGGTAGTTACTCAAAGCCGGTTTTTTCTCCATAGCTGCCATCCATTCTCTCGTTTTGCGCCTCGGCGCTCCGCCAGGAGCGCTCGCATCCCATAATAGCTCGGGGGACGGCGCTGAGGGACCGACCGCTCGGGCACAAAGTTATAGAGGAGGCTATGGCTAAGACAACACGGTGGTGGCACCTGCCCGTCGCTTTGCGTTCTACACCATATCGCCTCCGAGACAGGCGCACATCTTTCTCCGTGGGCTCGCACGCCTTCCTTCGTTTTCGAAGATAACTGCCAGATGGCGCTTGTGTCTAACCTGCCTCGATGCGCTCGTTCGCCTTCGCTGCACGAATCGAGACTCGCCAATGCAGCGCTTCCAAAATACAATTCACCAATTTTCTCGCGCAGAACATCAAATCAATGTTTTGTTCACTCTCTCCCCACGCAAAACTATTGTCTTTCGACGACATTTGCAGTGAAACAAGCAGATACGGTGCCACTTTTTTTTTCTTTTTTCGCAGCCCGCTTTTGGCTTCTTGGGCATCGGAACTTGCCACAACGGCACCTGCGTACAGCCCACGTCTCATGGCCCCACGACGGTGCAGCCAGGGACTCGTCCTCCTCCAAGGGACACGTTCCTTCCCAGAGACATAACAGCCTCGCACCATCCACGAGGCTCGACAGTCGTGCCCGCAACCACGAGTCACACCGGTCACTCAACGGGCGCTACTGCAGCGCGCACTGCAGCCACTGTTCGGCCAGTTCACATAATGCCTTGAATAGCGCACGAGTTTCTATGCGCTTGTTCTGAATATTCATTTTTTTTTTTTTGGAAACTGCACGTCGAACTTTTCCAATCGTACGTATACGATTACAACACTAACTGTGTTGGTTGTATGCCAGGGCCTCTACGATGCTGTTTTCTTTTTGGGGTTGGTTTCCTTTTCTTTCGTTCAGTGAAACTGTGCAGCAGCAGTGTTTATGATTAAGCACAGCTGGGAGAATGAGTGAGAATTTAACAAAAAAAAGATGCTGTGCTAAAACGATAGTGTCTCTGCCAGCCCGCATCTGCGTTGTAATGCATTGTCGATATTAAAAATACAAAAAATACAGTTTTTCTTTCAGTACGCATTGTTTTTTTTTCTTGTGGTGGTTGAAGGATTAGGACACGGAGGAAGTGATAGAAATAATAACTATTTAACGTAATGAATTTACCGATCCTCAGTTTGACGTCCAGATCTATATAAAACATATATGAGAAAATGCACCTCGAAGAATATCATAGGCTCTACTGAAAGCGAGTCAGATTTGCAAAAGCCAATTAATTGTCTGCATGAACAGTATTAGACTGCCTTCTCACACGCTTTTAAAAAACAAAACCGTAACAGGAATTTTTTTAACAAAAGCGTGCTCTGTCGACACCTTCACCTTACCGGTATCATACGTGAGCAAATCGGCCAACTCGAGATAAAGAGTGCTTACCAGCGCAAACGACTGAGTAGGAGGGGACCGGAGAAGAGATGAGACAGAGCGCTCTTTTCCTGTCCCCTCCTGCCCTGTCGTTTGCGCTGGTAAGCACTCTTAATCATCTTATACCAACACGCCCAATCCTACTGTCTCTTAGCCAACTCAGAACGTTTCATTATTCATAACTTTTCTAGGTATATCGTTTACAAAAACAGGCATTGCAGTGAGTTTTCTTATTCTTTTTTTTTTGTCTGTGATACTACTATTTCTTTCGCAGATGGTGTGATATGCACATATTGTATGATTGTTCTCACACTCATTTTTCGCGCACTTGTTTCAGGTGGTCAGCGCTTAGAGGTCGTAGGTATTTCATATTCGTGGTGTAGCAGAATGCACAAGAGATCGCGTTGCAGGACTAGAAACTATAAAATAAATAAATAAAATAAAAAGAAAAATAGGTATATTTCGCGCTTTCAAACAAAGCACAATAAGCTATATATCTAACGGTCAACGTGTGGCAAGTCCAGCTACTGCAGTTCTACGCACGAAACAATGGCCATCCGAAGGTGTGCCTGTTTCTTCGACAGCAGCGGCCAGCACGATCGGCGGATTAAGTCGCTAAGGTCTCACAGCTAGGCCTAGCCGACGAGGTGTCGAAGTTGAACAAAAGAAAACTAACTGCTTGTACGTCCAAGGATCTCTCTCCCGAATTTGGTTAGCCACACGATGCAAGAATCATTTCCCTGGGTTAAACTGCTACTCCTTTCCTGCCTTCTGGGTAAGTACGAGTTTCTCATTTTCTCCGCTATACAATAATGAAAAAAAAAAAATAATGTCGCTTCAGGTTATCATTCTCGTCAGCACTTCTCATGCACATGGGCGTCTGAGGAAACGAGAAATGTCTTTAAAAAAGGCCATCTTTTGAATGAGTCAATGGGGTTTGATGAAGTCAAAATATGAGCCACCTTGCGTACAAATGTTTACCTGTACGCCGAGACAAGTTTTCACTAAATCACGTGCCCTTGCAAGCTGCTGTTTTTTTTTTTTTTTTTACAAATTAACCACTTGAAAAACACAAGGCAAGAAAAAGATTTTGTCTGGTATCTCGTCACAAGGAAACTCGCAGCGTTCCGTTTCTTACTAACATTTCATTGCTACTGCGGTGGCGCAGCTGCATTTTCGCGTTGCGGCGGCGAGTTGTAGGTGGGCAACTCTGTGCATCATAGAAGCCCCGTCGATATGAGTCAGCACCTAATGCAGAGCTCTGCCCCGGTGTGCAAGTACTCGGGTTCGATTATAGGTGGCGATGGCATCGTTTTGCCTTTGTCTGAATGTGTGTGTAAGAGAGAGAGAGAGAGAAAGCTTCCGGCTTACTCTAAGGTCCACGTTAACAGGACACATATAGCGTTGGCATCCTAGCGCAGCCATAAGAAGGGCGAGGGGGGTAAATTCTTTCTCCCTCCCCGAAGTTTGTAAATCTTGCATGTATGCATAAACACGCGCACACACAGACATGCATGACCATACATAAAATATTATCGGGCTCCCTCTCGGGCAAGATGAGTAGCCAGTTGGTGGAAAGGAATCCATCTACACCATGCTTTCATGGGTAGCTTTCGGAACGATCCTCCATTCGATTCCCAATTTAAGGCTTCGGTGACACGAATAGTCCTGTGATTATGTCTCAATACATGAATTCAGGTAATCATTCATTGTAAGTATAAGGCGTGATTATATCTGCCTACAGTGACATCTTAATTGGTAGAGCACAATATGGTGACGTTTGAAGTATCCCTCCACTGAAGAGAACAGCTTTATGTTGTGTTTCGTATTGGCCATAGTATTATAGTCCCAATAAGAGTCAAGTTTTACTCCAGGCTGCGCAGCAGTGTGTTTAATTTTGTGAGTGCAATAGGAAGAATCTCTACGTATACTGGCCTCCCTAACCAAATGGGGCGAATGCCCAGTAACACACCTAGTTTTTTTTTTAATTAGAAGTTAAGCATTTAGCATCCTTGAGGTTTAGAAGGGAGAGCTCGCTTTCAGACGATGACATCACAAGGACTTTATCCAGGAACCCTTCGGGAGGTCGGAAGACCACAAGTGTGAATGTTTTTGAAGACGAAGTTCTTTCGATTTAGATAAAAGAAAACAACTTTATCCTGTTGAAGAACTTTCGTGCTCGAAATAGCCTTACGAAACAATGCGTAAAGCTATTACCCGTGATTTTTTTTTTCTTCTTGCTCAGATTTTGCAAAAAAAAATTATATAAGGTTCGCCAAAGTGATGAAGTGGCTTACTGCGGACATAGATTGGTAAAAATAGTGCTATGAATATGTTCTTTTGTTTCTTTATTGCCAATACGATAGTCGGTCGAACGGTGCTCATTATAAGTCCAAACCAGATTACAAAATGACACCCAGTTAAATAGAGTCGATCGAATCAATCCTTTACGCAATACAGGTACAGCACAGGCAGTGTATGGAAAAAAGCCTGCCTCGGCAGATTTTCGGTGAAATATAGCAAGGGCGTTTAATTCCTCAAGTCATGAACAATGTGTAGGTGACGAAGACTAGTCAGAGTCCACTTCTCTATGGACGCAACACTTGTACAGCGTGCGTACACGTTCTAATGAAAACAGCAAAACGAGTAGGACGATCCAGGTGGCTCTATATTTTCATGAGATCATTATTTGTCCCACATATCGTATTTCGCTGCCTCAGCTTATACGGCTCGCACAAAAGGGACAGGAAGAATAATACTAGATGCAAACCTCTTTTTCTTTTTTCGTGTTAAAAGAAGAAAATAGACTATTTTAATGGGTCTTATTTCGTCCTTTTTAAAGACACCCCAAAACGTTAAAGGAAGAGGCCTAATTATAAGGACACTATATTCAATGATTCAGTGGTATCATGCTCCCTACAGAATCGGTTAGCAATTTTTTTCGCTACACAATGGCTGCAGCCCGGGTACGCCAACAACAGCCAGTCATCGTGGAAATGGCGAAGTACAAAACTTGCACTCTGCTGGTGAAATCAGCCAAGCAGGCGCTCCAAGCGAGAAATTCCGACCGAGAAAACGTGTATATATATATATATATATATATATATATATATATATATATATATATATATATATATATATATATATATATATATATATATATATATATTCTTCTTATTTACATTCCTTGCATTACTGTCTGTTAGATCTCATTAATATTGTGTTAAAACACGGAAAAACGAGCCCTTAGGTATACTCTTCTTTTCCTTATATGTATATATATATATATATATATATATATATATATATATATATATATATATATATATATATATATATATATATATATATATATACATATAAGGGCTTGTTTTTCCGTGTTTTAAGCAATAATAATGAGGTATAACAGGAGACAATAATGCCAAGGAAAGTATAGGGGAAGTTATTAGACCGAAATTTGTAGTGTAATTGTGAAGAAAGAAAAGTGGGTGAAAAGATAACCTGCCGTGAGCAGGAACCGAACCTGCGACCTTCGAATAACGCATTCGATGCTTTACCACTGAGCTACCACGGCGGCTACCCCTCCAGCCCCTTAATCGGGTATATATGTGAATTAAAACGTGGGCGTGTCAGTGTGACGCCGCTTTTCGTGCCCAGCGGTTGAGCTGCTGGTGTGAGCAATAGCGACGGTAGAGGTACAAAAGCAAACAAAGCCACCGTGAATGAACGCGTCATGTTTACAACTTGTTTCTGTTCAAACAGTGCAACCGTTTACCAGTGAGCGTCGGGCTTCGATAGCCGGGGACAATGATGATTACAAAAAAAGCAATGATATCATCACCAAATTGTGGGTTCGAACATCAACCAAGGCGTGCCATGTAATGGCGCGAAACTATTTTTATTTCAGACTCATTCATCGGCAGAAATAATAATAAAACGTATTATCTCCTCGATTCATGCAGCCTGTTAACTGACTTGCTTCATCTAGGTTAGTTATTCTCATGCAAAGTAAAATACAACTTTAAATTTGAATCCGCGATGCTGCTTAATGCAGTGCATGTAATAACCAAGACGAAATTCGACGAAAAAAGAAGGCTTTTCGAGCAAGTTCTTGCTCAAGTTTTATGTACGTAATTATGTCCGGAGCGAAATTCACATATTGAAAAGGGAACATAAAGACAGCATGTGAAGCGTCGATTTTTTTTCTCTTCCCTTCCCAGGTTTAAATTTCGCGCCACAAATAAGTATGCATGAACATAATATTTTCCTTTTTCACTGAAGCTGAATTACCGCACTGTTCGACCCCGACGTCTTCGGTTTATTAATAGACTGCTTCCTCGCTTCTCGTGCTTCATTTATCAATCATTTCGCAACGACATGCTGCGGTTATATATTTTCTTCAACATACAATCTTCACAGTGTGAAAAACATTGCAATTCAGATGGTGAAAGCAATTCGCTATCTTCCAGATTCAGAATACCTGAAGCAGAAATATTGGCTGTTTTTTACCAGGATGCTTTTCATGAGAAGATCATTTATATGTACTTCTCCTTTTATTTTAACTTTGCTCTTCTATTATCTTTTCTTCCCCTTACCCCTTTCCCCGGCGTAGAGTTTGACCTCAGTCGATCTGAAAACTAGCTAACCTCTCTGTTCTCCTTCTCCTCCTCCTCCTCCTCCTCCTCCTAAAATCATACATTGTGTGCCTACTTTTTCAGCGGTCGTCTACGCCAGAGAAAAAGTGAGAATGAAAAATGGTGCCGAGTGCAAAGGCGAACTGGTGAGTCGTAATAAACCAACCCACCACCACCACCACCACCATCATCATCATCATCATAATTATCATCAGATCGACCCGGCTTTCTGTGTCGGCAGTGCGTGTCACACACACGGCTCATCCAGCTGTGAAACTGTTGTGAATTTTCGCTTCGCTGTGAATTTACCCTCAGCTAGTTAGCTTAGGCCTGAAATAACGGAACGCGGTTTATTAAGGAGATCTGCTGTTTTCTGTTTTGTCACACGTTCAAAACATTTATAGTCTCTGTCCTTTGCTTTTGTTATTTACATTGAATTCACAATTCATGTTTCTTTTTTTTTCTGTTTTCAACTGTTTATTCTTGACGTCGTTCCGGCGTAGGACGCAAAAATTGACGGGTATGCACCACTGAAAGCATGTATGGGCCAAGCAGCTCCTAGCATAGCACAGTCATGTACCGTATAGCATGGCAAGAGCAAGAGAAAGAGAAGTGAGCGTTATGAGGAGGATTACGAGAGCGAAGAGAAAAAACGACGATGGGAAAGGGTAGAGCATGACAGAGTCTTGTATAGTATCATCATCATCAGCCTGACTACGCCCACTGTAGGACAAAGCCATCTACTATGTTTCGCTTGTCAACTCGGCCATGTGCTGCTGCGGCCTCTCCAATGTTCCGCCACTCAACTCGGTCCTATGCTTGCTGCTGTCACTTTTAACCCGCAAGCTTCCTCGTTTGCTCAACTAACTTTCTGTTGCCCCCTCGTGCGTGTGCATTCTCTTGAAATGCAGTCTGTGATTGTTAATGACCGCTATGTGCCCATTACCATTTCTTTTCTTATCCGTAACTCCCGTTTGTTCCCTCATACAATTTTCTCTCTTCTTGATTCTTAGCGTTACACCTATAAGTTTCCTTTCTATTGCTTGTATAGTATAGACTATAGAGAGTGCCGAGTAGTTCCTAACTTAGCACAGTCATGCCTATAGCAAGAAAGGAAAGGAGGAGAGTGGAGTGCAAAGCATGTATATAGTTTACCAATGAGATGATAAACGGAGGTGAAGGCAAGGAGGACTAATGCTATGTGAAGGAGGAGGGAAAGAAGGCTGTGATCATTTACAGTATACCACCACAAGGGGTGGGAATGAGAAGGGCTTGTGAGGAGGAGGGATGTCCGGGTCAATGGCAGAAAATAGAGAGAGGGAAATATATAATGACAATATTAAAAATAGAAAGTGGAAGGAAACAAAAAAGAAGGTGTTTAAATGCTAAAAAAATAAAATGAACAAAAAGGAAGAAGAATGTCAACAAGAAACTCAATATGTGTTCGCCAGCGGTGGCACTTGCTTTTTAGCTCCTCTATTCACTCAGTTTGCACCAGCTTAGAACTGACTTTAATGTTTGTTTCTTCGTTTGTTTGTTCCTAGTTGTCGATACTCATCTGTTATGTTGCGTTCCGTTTCCAACGCTCTCGACCTCATCCTCCATCCCGTAAGCTCTCCCTTGACGCCGTGGAAAGAAATTTGCACGAGGCTTACCCTACGAGTGCGGTCGGGAAGAGACGCAACGTTACATTCACCGCAACAATGCACAAATACACTACGGCCGGGTTCATCGACTCTCCAACAGGGAGCATATGAAAGGCGCTTGAAGCAGGTTGTCTACAATCACAGATTGAATTAACCAAATGAAGCCGCTGTAGCGCGAACTTCAAAGCCCACAGACAAAATAATGCGACACACGCAGGCGCTAACTTCCGAGTCAATTTTTGTTATTGAAACACCTAAAATATAAAAGTGATCCCGTGCCTGCACAGCTTCTGATCTCAGAAGCCATGACATCCCAAAGTAATAAGGTTCAGTTATCAAGATGAACAACGGTTTCAAACAAAAGAAATTAAAATAAGAAGTCCTTAAATTCCATAACACTATCAACGTGCCACTGAAGGTGTGCAACCCTCGTTCCACCAGTATACCCGCCGCACCTTCGCGTCGAAGTGCTTTTCAAATTGGAAAGACCCAAACTCCGGCACTTTGAGCCCTCCCAAGCACCATAAGACGTAATTTAAGCCAATGTTGACACATTCCATGCATCTTTATATATCTAAGTTGACGATATCGTACAACTGTTAAACAGGCTGAGTCGAGCGGTGAAAACTTCAAATTCCTCGTCAAAAACCAACAGTGACCGTCACTGGCAGTTTCAACACTAATGGTACAAAAAACTGTCCTCGTCTGATGACGTCATCGTGACGTCACAGGTCACCGAGTTCTATGACCTTAGCATGACGTCATTGTGGCGTAGCTGTGACAACACGTAACTGTAAGTGATATGCTGACGTCATCCCATGGCATTGTCGCTTGATCCGAGGTGGGACGGTACCACGGACACCCTGCTAAGCTGCGTGAGGTGTAGAAAGCGCTCGTCTTTGTGCTCTCTGAGTGTGTGTAATTTTTGGCGCTTGTTTCGTCATGTAGAAAGGTTCCAACGCCTCCGATCCCGGAGGAAATGGAAAGCAACTTCCGGCTCTGAAAGATTTTTTTTTAATGCGAAGCATTTCTTTGCATAAAGCAGGCGCTTTCAGCGTCTATTTATTCGTGCCAATTCATCTATTTAGCAGCTACGCCTGGGGGTTCTCATGATTACTCCCTTAGCATGGGGTGAACCAAAATTAGTACGAAATGGTAAGATGGTATGGGGAATATGACTGGCTGGTCATGACATTAATAATGTGACGACCCCGTCGTGTACGTCGTCAAACCCTTTCCGCAAGATATGTGCGGCGCATACCCAAATACCACGGGAGGGTATGCGCCACAGTGGATTGAAAGTTTATGTCTGCCCAGGAACGGCGAGAACAGACACTAGTCATTTTTGACGCGAGAGAGTTGACATCGGCATGATTGACTCGACGAGTGCAAAGAATAGATATCAGGGCCTCAGCAGAAATAAGACACAAGCATTCCACGTGGCAATTATGTATTGGACCACAGAGCCACGCCAGGCCTCGATGCTGCTTTGAAGAGGAATTGAAGGACCCATAAGCTTCGTTTTTAAGAGCTGAACGCCGTAGCGAAATCCTGTCCTTTATAAGAACTTCAACCACTTCGAGCATACTTTTTGTTGTATGATGTAACTCAAGAAGTTTAAATTCGATGAAGTTGAAAGTGGCTTCTGTCAGCGAAGCTTTCGCATAAGGTTTCATTCTGTAATGGGTAGCATGCTTTCAACCACGACAAATTATGCGCACCAAATCTTTTCGAACTTGCTATGCACCCACAATGTGGTCTTAGAGGAACTGTTGTAACGTGTGTGCTTTTTGTAATAAGTGACCGGCTTTAAACAATGGAACCGTTCGGGTGTTCTGACTCCCGACGGCATTGTACGTTTGTACCACGCAATATGACTGTGATACTACATGGTATACTGTGAAACCTGTATACAGGAAGCGTGTAGTTGTAAGGCATGAACGTCATTTTCATTGCATTTTTCAAGCATATAAGAAGTAATTTCCACCATATTTCCAAACAGACACGTAGCTGCGTGGTAGAACACCTGCGGACCACGCAAGCAGTCTGGGTTCGAAAACGTTTATTATTTGAACATATTGTCACGTAATACAAGAGGGGCAACACACACGCAATGATTTATTGAGGACAAACTTGTGCCCAGAAAAGTAGCTATATCACAAATAAAAGTCTGCTAAAAGCGTTCTCTGTGGCAATATGTTTCAACTGTTAAACATATCTCTATGCTTACATAATGTGTACACATATTCAGCGTCATTTTGTAACGTTTCTATAACTACAACAAAGCAAAAGTAGCCTGACATGCTTCGAATAAGGTCGACTTGCAAAGTACATGGGATCTGACGAATGTTTTAGGGGCGAAGCGCCTTAGGGCATGGGCTGTGCGTCCCCTGTAGCCTGTATGTAGCCACCTCTAGTTTAGTTCTTGCAGTGTTCACTAGATGGCGGTACCGTCCCCTGTATGTAGCCACCTCTAGTTTAGTTCTTGCAATGTTCACTAGATGGCGGTACCGTCTTCTGTATGTAGCCACCTCTCGTTTAGTTCTTGTAGTGTTTACTAGATGGTGGTACTTGTAGCTGATGATGAAAAGATGCAAGATGTTATAAACTAGAAAGCGGTACTTGTAGTTGATGAAAGACGCGAGATCTTATAAAATAGGAATGATGTCACATATCGACCGGGAACATCATGACATTCATAGACACTGCGTTACGAAATTATGAGAACAAATACAAGAATGGACCATTTGTACTACTTGGAGACTTTAACGTGGCTATCATAGAGAATAATTGGCTTATCCAACATATGGCTTCTAGATATGCACTCAGACGTATATCGTTTGACCATATGAAACCTACCACGATCCGAGGAACATGCATAGACCTAGTATTTGCAAATTGCCCACTGCAACTCATACAGGAACCGCTCTCCCTTCATTTCACAGACCATAAAGCCGTCATAATGAAGGGACATCGCAAGCCATCCATCGTCTAAGAACAAATAAAAGTTGATTTGTGTATATACACACACAGCGTTTCTCACGTCTTTACATGATGATCGACTGGGCGAATTACACGGAAGATTCACAGTTTACCGATGAATCCCTCCGGAGCTTCGCCCATTCATCATCATTCACCCCGTGAATATGCCGTAATTTTTATTTAGGGGTACAGGGGGAGGTGGACCTATGCGATCGACTGAGAAGGAAAAGATCGTTTTCTCCTTTGAGTCGTCTTAAGAAAACACATAAAGGACAGTGCAGGTTCAACGAACTCTTTTCTTTCCTAGAAAAAAGTTCGGCAGATCCAACGTACCTTGGGTATCGATGTTATGCGAAGCATGCAGACGAACGGTGATTGTATTGTAATTCTTTTTCATTTGAGCGGTAACGTTACAAATTGGTGCTAAAGATACGCAAAAACGTACGCAGGTGCATACGTTAAACAAACGCATATGTTTTATATAACCAGTTGTTTACAGTTGCGTAACGATGCCAACAGCAACACCGATATTGGCCATACCAGAAGCAGTAAGCTGATATGAAGTGCTGCTGCCCTCGAGGATGGTAGCCCTGGCACCTCTACATAAATCAACCACAGTGGATGGCGCCTTACAACAATTGACCTTAAGCCGACATGACGGCTGCATCGCAGGAGTACATATGTAATGTTTATAAAATTGGATAGTCCTCACGGCAACCAAAATTGATGTTTCAGAATATTAGCGTCTATCCGAAAACAGTTCCGAGACCTGGCTTATTCTCTGGTAGGATAAATGATTGCCACGTAGAATGCTGGGGTTTGATTCCAGCTGGGGCCCTGACATTTATTCTTTGTATTCATAGCGTCAACGCTGGCGATTTCAGCTCTTTTTTAATGCTCACACGGTAAAATTACCCATGTCTGTTCTCACCGTTCCTAAGTAGATATAAATCACTTGTGGCACACACCCGCATACAGTGGCACATACCAGCCCACGATTAAGATTATGATGATAATAATGATGAAAACTTTATTTTGGCTCAGAGAAAACACAGGGGAGACCGTGTATGTGCCACAAATCAGGTGGAAAAGGCTTGACGACATAGGCGACGGGATTTCCGCAATATTGATGTGGTGACCAACAAGTCAATTCGGCAAACCATCTTACCCTACTATACAAACTTTCAGACAGACAGACAGACAGACAGACAGACAGACAGACAGACAGACAGACAGACAGACAGACAGACAGACAGACAGACAGACAGACAGACAGACAGACAGATAGATAGATAGATAGATAGATAGATAGATAGATAGATAGATAGATAGATAGATAGATAGATAGATAGATAGATAGATAGATAGATAGATAGATAGATAGATAGATAGATAGATAGATAGATAGATAGATAGATAGATAGATAGATAGACAGACAGACAGACAGACAGACAGACAGACAGACAGACAGACAGACAGACAGACAGACAGACAGACAGACAGACAGACAGACAGACAGACAGACAGACAGACAGACAGACAGACAGACAGACAGATAGATAGATAGATAGATAGATAGATAGATAGATAGATAGATAGATAGATAGATAGATAGATAGATAGATAGATAGATAGATAGATAGATAGATAGATAGATAGATAGATAGATAGATAGATAGATAGACAGACAGACAGACAGACAGACAGACAGACAGACAGACAGACAGACAGACAGACAGACAGACAGACAGACAGACAGACAGACAGACAGACAGATAGATAGATAGATAGATAGATAGATAGATAGATAGATAGATAGATAGATAGATAGATAGATAGATAGATAGATAGATAGATAGATAGATAGATAGATAGATAGATAGATAGATAGATAGATAGATAGATAGATAGACAGACAGACAGACAGACAGACAGACAGACAGACAGACAGATAGATAGATAGATAGATAGATAGATAGATAGATAGATAGATAGATAGATAGATAGATAGATAGATAGATAGATAGATAGATAGATAGATAGATAGATAGATAGATAGATAGATAGATAGATAGATAGATAGATAGATAGATAGATAGATAGATAGATAGATAGATAGATAGATAGATAGATAGATAGATAGATAGATAGATAGATAGATAGATAGATAGATAGATAGATAGATAGATAGATAGATAGATAGATAGATAGATAGATAGAAATGCTTCGCATATAAATGGAGAATTTAGGCGTAATCTATTACTATTTTCCATCCTCTTTCCCCATCAATTGTTGCAGTGTAGCAGGCTAGTTTAGGCCGACCTCACTGCTTTTCTGAAAATAAACCTATCTCTCTTTCTCGGATCTACTACAGTAGTAGGATGCAGCAGCTTATTTAGAAATTAACAGTATACAGCAGTCGCTTCTTTCTACTCTTTTCAGTACATTCCTTTCAAGCCATGCGTGAGGTACTGCAGAGTCAGTTGGGTGTTGTTCGTGCCGAAATATCAAGAACAACAAGTTGCTGACGGAACTCCATGCAGGGTAAGCACCCTAAATATGGGCATTACCATATTGTGCTATTTTACACTAGTGTATAAACACTTCAGACGCGTTACAACCAGCAAATCTAGTCTTGGTTTAGGTACAGAGCTAAATTTGCCAAAGTACTCTGACGGTCAATGCGGTAAGAAGTCGCCCCTCTGCAGTGAACACAACCACAGATCTTTGAAGGTTTCTGCAGTTTTACTTTTTCAAGATGTAAATATGGTCGAAAGTATTCAGCGATATGCCAAAATCGCTGGTATTGCACTCAAGAAAATGGGTATCTGTAATAATTTGCTAGCAGTCTAGGGCAAGCAAGCAGCCATACTCACGAACACGACGTTGGTTACGTTGGCACTATGCAATAATTTGGTGCAAATTCACGCGTTCAAGTTACAGCAGACGCTAAAATGTAAGGATATCCTTCTTTTGGAGCAACACGAAACAAGGTAAATGCAACTGGTAGCAAAGCTTCTATAGAAGCCCGTATCTTCAGAAAACGGCCGCTCATCAGCTTCTCATGGAGCCATCTCTGTGCGGAGGTAACGATTCCGGCTCTACAAAGAATAAACAAAGTGGATGTGAAGCAATATCTGGTAAACAAGGATTGTTTTTGTTCACATTATCGTGAAATTTATTCTGAAAACAGTTATCACGGACCCTTGGTCATTTTTTTCTTGTACTTTGATATAGAACCGTTACGTGTCAAGTATACATGCAGGCCTGCTCATTGAAGAGCGACACAACTTAGCGATCTGCTCACCGATAAGGGACAGTGTAGTGAGCGCTACGTGTTCATGAATTAAACAAGGCTGCCTGAATACTGATACATGGAAATGAAGCGAGCACAGTATGCCGAACCGTTGCCCCAGTTTTTAGGGGCAAAGCTCCTTAAAGCAGCACCCGTTCGTCTCTCGTAGTCGTAGTCGTAGTGTGTAACAAGTGTTACATTTGGACCTGCAAGCTGGTGCCGGCGGGGGATTTTTCCTGAGCTTTGTTGAACAATAAAAAGTTCGCGGCGTGCGTGTTACCTAAAAGTCGAATGCTCCTGTCTCTGATTCCCCATTAGCAGCCATTGGCATGTACATTGAGCACTATCTGAAAAGAAAGGGTTGCTGCGTTATACTCGCTGGGTGTAACCTCTTTAGTTTTAGAAAGGTTTAGCGAGCGTTGAGCCGCAGTGCCATGAATACAATGAACTAGTATATACCATGAACTCGAGGTGGTTAAAGGTGGGAAGTAGCCCGGAAGCGCAAGCCGTAAGAAAGTGTGCGTGTGCCACCTCTCGTTTAGTCCTTGGAATGTCCGCTGGATGGCGGTGCTTCTACATGGAGAATATATGATGAAAAGATGCGAGATGGTGGCACTTGGTGTGTTGAATAGATGGGCGAACGGACACACAGACAGATGCATGGATGGACGCATGAACGGACGCAGGGGTGGATGCACGGACGAACGCAGGGACGCACGCACAGACGGGCGGATGGACGTATGGACGGTCGCACAGACGGACGCATGGACGGACTGAAGCAAGAACGAATGGACGGACGGATGCTTCGCCCCGCTCTCCATCAATAGAGAGTTTTAGTACTGCGTACGCTGCGTACGTGGCGGCGTTGCGTACGTAAGGACGCCACGTTCTGCATGCATAGTGCGCATGCGTAGACCACAACTCGCACGTATCGCATTACGTACGCAGCCGCTACGTACGCACGCATGAGATGCGTGCATGCGTACGTATGAGGTGATCGCGCCGCTCTCGAACAAGTTCGCGACAGCGCGAGACTTCGTTTTGCAAAATGGCGGCATCGAAGGCATGCACCGACCGGCTCTGTGGCCTAAATAATGGCCATAATCTGGCTATAAAACTTGGATTGGCTCACACTGGCTGTCAACAACACGTGCTTCTATTTTGATCTACCAGATGGCAGAACACGCTTCAGGCTCGTTACGTACGCGGGTACTACGGCGTACTAAAAGCCGATTAGTGGCAAACGACGCCCCGTAACGAAAGGCGCTTGCGTGATGCGTACGTAGCACCATTCCGCAGTAGTAAAACTCTCTATTCACTCCGTGGATATGCTACCAATTTTTTTTATCTAGAAGACACGGATCCCCAGATGTACTCGTGTTGCTATTTCACTCTTCCACAGTGCAGCGTTTCCGCGGGTACGGAGGCAAGCGCTCGGCGTTGCATGTTATCCGCATCGTTGCTGTAGCCAACGCGTTCACCAACAATAAAACTTACGCACCTAACAACCCTGCACACAGCAAAAAAAAAAAAAAAATAGAGCATATCCACGGAGTGCATGATGATGAGTGGGGCGAAGCATCCGTCAGTCCATTTGTGCTGCCATCCGTCCGTTCGTTCTTGCCTACGTCCATCCGTGCGTCTGTTCGTGCATCCGTTCGTGCAAACATCCATCCATCCGTCTGTGCATCTGCTCATCCATGCGTTCGTCCATCCGCCCATCCGTTCGTGCGTCCGTCCGTCCATGCATCTGTCTGTCTCTCCGTCCATGCGTCTATCCATCCATTCGTCCATTTGGTGAACACTCCAAGTACCGCAATCTCGCATCTTTTCCTCATATATTCACCATATAAAAGTAGCGCCATCCAGCAGACATTCCAAACACTAAACGAGAGGTGGCATGGCCGGACTAGATGAGCAGCACGCCCACACTTTCTTACGGCCTGCGCTTCGTGTCTAGTTCCCACCTTTCACCGTCGCTTGTTTGTGGCATTGTGGTCCAACCCTCGCTAAACCTTGCTAAAACCAGGGAGGTTACGATAAGCGAGTTAAACATCGCAACCCTTTCTGGTCAGATAGTGCTTAAAGTGCGTCCTTCTGATACTAGATTTTTTTTTTCGTGAACATGACATTTAAGGCAAATTTTACCGGAGATTAAGTCAACACTCGTCTCTGCAAGTTATTTCAACAGAAACAACTATCTCTTTATGAATGATTAACGAGCGCGGATTTCCTCCTCAATTCAAATGAGTGTGCTCGCGTCGCTCCTCTAGTCCGGCCGTGGAGGTGGGTATACCTACTTCTACGACGCATTACTACTATTACTAAGACGACTACTACTAAATGAATCGCGGACGCACGACACATGGCTTAAAGGGCCACTCACCAAGCCCCATACCAAATTTTAGTTAGACAGTGGAAGTTGTTGGGTGTCTGATGAGGAACATTTTGCCACAAAAATTTTTTGAATCGGTTCTTCACAAATGAAGCAAACGTTTTTTTTTTTTTTTTAAGCGGCGCGAAACGAGGATGAGAGGAGGCGAGCTCGAAACCCCTACCGCTCCTCCCCGTAGCTTTCGCAAGCCAAATCTCTTCTCCATTCTCTCAGGCATGTGACCAAGAGGTCAAGTGCGCATGACGTGCCCAATTAAGTCCAATCCCTGAGCAAGCGAGTGGCGTTGCTTCGTTGACCAGCGTTATTTTGTGATCTTCTGCCTGTTTCTGTGGGATGGTTTGGAAACGCCGGCTTCCGCCTGTTTATGTGGGATGGTTTGGATGGTTTGGAGACACGGTAGAGTAGATGAGCACAATGAGTGCGCGAACGCGTACGAGCGTTCCATGGCGGTCGTCTGCTCCATGCGCTGACCACGGGGACACAAACGTATGCGAAACGCCGACGCATTAGCCCCGCATCTCGTTGCAATTCACTGGAGAAAAATAGAAAAAGACGCTCACATTTTCTTATTGTGTCTCATTATTTATCTGGAGCTTTATTAATCTCTTCAAGCAACAAATTACGTAAAATGCGCTTGCCTTGTAAAATAATATTTGCCATGTCACGTGCCACTGTTTCCAACATCAAAGCAGAGTCGTCTACGTAGAGGACCAACGCCACTGCATTGCCGTCTACGTAGGACCATTCATACGCGCACGTCATGCCCTCATTCTCTGGGCGCGTGCCGGCAGAAGGGGAGGGGGGGGGCAGTGTTCATCTTGAAATTTGAGCCATTTCCGCGACGCGTCGCGTTGCAAATTTTGGCAGACGTGATCAAGTACGCCTCGCCTACGCATTGCACTTGTCAGCTCAAAATTTTCAAACCTGGTGAGTGGCCCTTCAAGAAGCTTCGCCTTTAAAATTAAATTCACATCGCAATAATTCCAAAAACGCATGCAAGTGCACAACACCAAAATACGTGACGGGGCGTGTCGTGCCAGCGAACTTCACGAGCGCGCCTTTCCATGCTCCGCAATGGCTGCACTGAACAGTAATGGCGTGCGCCTCTCGTCAGAGGGCGCCCAGGCGAAGGCTTTAGAGGCGAAGCTTCTCAGGCCGTAGGTCGTTTCTTCCGCTGTAGTAGTAGTAGTAGTAGTAGTAGTAGTAGTAGTAGTAGTAGTAGTAGTAGTAGTAGTAGTAGTAGTAGTAGTAGTAGTAGTAGTAGCAGTAGTAGTAGTAGTAGTAGTAGCAGCAGTATGTAGCCGCCGCTAGCTATGAGTTAATAGATGGCGTTGTGCACATAAGTGCTTGGGAATAATTATCTAGATGGCGTTAGTGCTTTTCATAGCATATTCACGGAGTGAATGATGATGGGTGTAGTGAAGCATCCGTTCATCCACCAGTCCATTTGTCCATCCCTCCGTGTGTCCGTCTATCCGTGCACCCGTCCGTGCTTCCATACATGCTTCCAACCGTGCTTCCTACCATCCCTCCATCCATGCTTCCATGCCTCTGCGTTCTGTGTGTCCGTCCGGACACACGGACAAATGAATACACCCAACGGGCGTAAGCTTCTCCCCACTCATGATCATTCACTCCATGGGTATGCTGTGATTTTTTTCGTAACGATTAAACACTATCATAAATTTTCGCCCATCCAACCTGCATTATTGTTCGGTAAGTGAACGTTTTTTGTTAAAGCAGAAATACGTAAAGCACCCTTGAGTAAAACTAGGGTTTTCGCTACTAGCGTTCGTTCCCTCACCACCTATAGTCGCGCTTCAATTGCAGCACCCATTACACCTTTGTCGGTGTCGCTGGCAACTCGAACGCTTTTAGCCCCACGTTTAACGACCTATTTGGATCGACCTTAAGCGAGACGTGAGGCGTGCAGACTGCGTCGAAGCGTAGTAGATATATGAGCACGCTGAACGTGTAGTGAATTTTTGGTTCGTGCAGAATCGAGAGCATATCTGTATCGTCTTCCTATTCATTTATTGCCGCATAACATTGAGATAATTAGCCTAAGTGCGGAAGGTCTCCTTAGCAAACCATGCAACTATTTTAACAGAACCCAACGGAATGCAGTGTTCTGTAAAACTCTCATCGTCTGGCACTGATCGCACAGGGTAAGATCCTCAGTGTCTCAGCTTGTCGGAGGGTCACGTCGTGGTCACGGTTTGTACTATATAGACGAGCACGCGCCTACAAAATTGGTTAAATCTCACTACCCACCACCGATTCATACTATGCACATTTTGAGTGAAATATTCGTCATTACTAATCAAATCAGTATGCTTAGCTCAGAAGCGTTGTCAGAATACCCGACGAAATTTACCAAGGCGCTCAGGTTTCTTATCTAAAACTGGAGACACAAACGGGCATCTCTACGGTAAGGTTATCTATTCGAAGCAACACTTTTTGAAGCGTACCCGCAAAGCGATGGTGTGTCTGCCGGCCGGTAAAGCAGTCGAGAGTAACACATCTGTGAGAAACATCGGTGCACACAGCATGCTTCACGCTTCAAAGAAAATTTCAAACAACTAAATTAAAATAAGCTAACTGATTCATTCGCGGGAAATCGAGTGCAGTACGGTTGCAGACTTAGCTTGGGGAATAACCGCATTACATCGATTCTACACGGTCATCTTTCACTCCTTCTCTTTGCAGAGGCTGCTCATTTTGAGAGGTGTGTGTCAGCATGGAAGGTGCGTGAAGCTAGGAAAGGTAACAAAGGCACCGAAGATAAACTTCACGGCCATAACGATGACTGCTGAGCCAACAAGCCCAACTGTCGCTCCTCTAGTTGCTGATTAAAGCGACAACCGGCACTTAGCACGTGGGTCCAGGACGTCTTGACGGAAATAAAAAATTAGCGGCACTAACGGTTTTTCTTTCGCATACATAACAATGTTTTATACGTTGAGACAACTTTCTAGTGCTTTTTTTTTAACGCCGAAAAGTTTCCTTGCTAGTTTTCTCGTCAATTTTGTTTAAAAATGTGCACTTGTTGTCATTAGTTGATTTTGGTGTTTTATACGTGTGAAAACCGCGACATGACAATTAGACGCCGGACAAGTGGGCTCTGGGTTAATTTTGACCACCTGTGTTTCTTCAACGTCCATTTAAATGAAGTACATGCGCGTTCTTTGATTTCACCCTGATCTAAACGCGTCCGGCCTGGACCGGCCCCCCAAAGCTTTCAAAAATGACAGGTGGTCACTTAGATGAGGTTTTTGACCGGGCTAGTTTGTGAAGATTCATAATAGCTCACCGTGCACTCAGAAACAAGGACGAAGAAGGGACATGTACTATACCTTATGTACACTGCTCACTCTGTCAAATTTCTGTTTTACCAACACACGCACACACACACACACACCTGGAATTTTGTTTTTTTGGCCGTAAACCCCACCTTTACATCGTACCTTCCAGCTACCTTTTTTTATTGTGTGTGAAAGCCTGTGCATATAAGAAATTGCTGCCACCTTAGATCTATACCCAGTAAGCCGGCCCGTTTCCGAAAATGGTCCCGTTTCATGTTTGAGCTTCCTTAATAGCCTGATACCTACAGCCAACATTACAGAGAACGGGTACCCTGCGTTCTGCAGCCGAGCAACATGTTCATGAAACGATGTGTGAACAGTGTGAAAAAAAGATTTCAACCATTCAAACTGAAAACAATTTGTGATGATTCTATTCTTGACCAGCTTAGAATGATTTAGAGCGGTTACAATAGCGACAAAGTGCCTGGAAGAATGGAGACTAGAGCTGTTATCAGAGAAATGCTCGCTTATAGCATTCACGCATAAGGCGATGAGCGCATATATTATTAAAATCAACGGACACACGATCAACTACGCGAAGACCCACCGATTCTTCGGAGTCATAGTTGATCGCGACCTCTCCTGGAGCCCTCACATCGCCCACATGAGAACTAAACTCACCATGATCACCCATGTACTGAGGTTTCTTGCTGGAAAAACGTGGGGTGCATCGGTACGAGCAATGCTTCAACTCTACACTGTTTTGTTCCTCGGTTATATGCGATACAGCTTACCCGTGCTTTGCGGGATCCGAACAAACTTGCACGTCCTTCAGTCGATCCAAGCCCAAGCATTGAGAATATGCCTTGGTCTCCTGAGATGCGCGTCTACAGCAGCGACAGTCATCATTGCGCGTGATTATCCAGTCAACGCATACATCCGCGTAGACGTTTTGAAAATGCACCTAAGACATTTCGCTCAGCTTCCATCACATCACCTCGCCTCACTTCAAACTTCTAGGCCCCACTCGGCGTTCAGTGCAACTGTAGCTTAGCATTGCGCAGTGCTTCCATTGCACTTCACGCATACAGCACGGCCACCGATACCATTGTGTTGCCTACACCCACTCAAAGCCCTTCTTACAATTTCTGGCATGTAAAATTAAAAAATTCGTCGCATCTAGCCCTTAAACGGGCCACATTACTCTTCCTGCAAGAGAAGCACAATGAACGCCTTCACATTTACACGGATGGCTCGGTGTCTTCAGTAAGCTCAGCAGGGGCGGTGGTTATTCCTGCGAGGCACATCACAAAAAAATTCATTACATCGCGTTTGACGTCACCGACAGCTGCAGAACTCACCGCCGTACGTGCAGCTCTGGAGTTTATAGCTGAAGAACCTTCGGGAACTTGGTCTATCTTCTTGGACTCGGAGGCAGGTCTTCAATGTCTTATGTCACCTTTTCGCCATGAACCTAATGAACAGTTAGTAGCTGAAATAAGGATTCTTCATCACCAAGCAATCGAAAAACAGCACAGCATAATGTATCAGTGGATACCAGGTCATTGCGGCATATGTGGCAATGACCACGCAGACGAGGCCGCTAGATCTGCACACGACGGTACCCAATACACAGCCATCCCGTTCTCAAGAACCGACGCAGCTACAAGACTTCGTTCGCTCGCACGTGACCTCACACTGGTACAATGGAACTAAACAGACTACACAAACGCGCGCCTGCATAACTTAGATCCCGATCTGCAGCTTCGTCTTTCCCCAAGGATATCTCGAGCTGAGGAGACTTTTCTATGCCGCCTGTGGCTTGGAGTGGCCTTCACGAACGCATACTCTTGTCTCATTGGAATGACCAGCTCTCCTACATGCACTTACTGCAGCTGCGAAGAAACCATCGCGCACCTTCTGTGTGAGTGCACCCATTTCAACGCGCAAAGACAAGAACTCACTGCAGCTCTGGATAGACTAGACGATCGGCCTTTGTCGGAACAAAGGATTCTGGGTCATTGGCCGAGCCCATCCTAAGCCCAGAAGGCTTTGAAAGCTTTGCTGCGCTTTTTGCGGACAACTGGCCTCAGAGACAGACTTTAGTGTCTTGTACTCTTTGATGTTGCCTTTCCTCTGTCGCAATTTTTTTGTAATTTCTCTCTCTCTTCGCAACATTTCATTTTAACATCTTTCATTCCCCTCACCCCTTTCCCTAGCACAGGGTAGCCAGCCGGTCTAATAACTGGCTAACCTCCCTGTCTTTCCGCTTAAACTTTCTTCCTCCTCTTCCTCCTTAGAAAAATTTGAAGCGAAATTCATGAGTTGCTTCCCGGCCTTAGGCAATAAGGTCCAACGCACATGGTCTGCAAAAACTCAAGCTTCAGATCCAAAAACTGTAGCTTTTTTTTCAGCCGGTTCTTCTGATCAAAAGGTTAATCCCCTTCCTGAAGAGTTAAAAACATCCTATACCATGACTCTGGAGTTTTTTTTTTATTATTCAGCACATCACACCACCCAATTGAGTAATAATCAACATATTTGAAGACTTTGTAGAATACGCATTGTAGGTACAATGCCAAGTTTCGATCTATGCTGCTCATGAATATGTTGCTAAGGATGGGGGCTACCTTCGACCCGATGCAGACTCCCTTTGCTTGAATGAGCGCTTTTTCGCTGAACCCCACGTGAGTGTTCTCTAAACAACAGTGCAGAAGCTGAAGGAAAGACTCGACGGACATATGCACCTGTTGCCAAAGGTCCCTTTATCTTTACTATCTGTTATGAGTTCTTGGACACAGTGCATTAAAGGCGCATGCGGCAGTGAATATTATAATTCTTGAGCGTCTATGGGGCAGTGAATAATATAAATCTTGAGCGTCTATGCTGATACCCCAACTGTTTCTTCTGCTATCTGGTGTTGAAAACTCCGTAAGGCCCTCAGAATTAGCCAGCGAAAAAGTACATTTACTCCTAAGGAACGCAACATTTCTTGCAGATACCCTGCAACGAGGCACGGCCACGCCCCTTATTTCGGAAAGAATAGGCCTAAAATAAGCTCCTTGCTTATGGTTTTTTTTCTGTGAAAAACGCCTTCAATTTTATTCCTTTTCAAGTCTGGACATCAGAAGCAAGTTTTCCTAGGTTACATTTCTTTAGTAACTCGACAGCTTTCTTTTTCACGCTTTCTATACTCACAAATTTGCATTCTTCAAAGCAATTTCGCATCGTCGCAAATATTTTTTTTCTACGTATATAATCTCCAGTTGAACAACTAAAAAACCTGCTTTGTCTGACTGAACCACCCTCAGTTTGTTGTCAACCAAATAACTAGCAGCTCAAGCAACATCAAGGCTGGGCCTGTTGCTTACCGAAGCTTTGTTCACCACGTCGACTCATTCCACAACACATCTCTCCTTTTCTTTCTCAGGTACTTGCCGGGCAATGTGTCTTGTGAGGGATAGCCTGTCAACATGGTCGAGTCCTAGCTCCTCGCAGAACTTTTCTGGGTGAAGCCGTTTGTTTTCTCTTCTGTGTGCATCTGTGCCTGTGCAAACATTTCAAGATTGTAACAAAGCTTCGCGCGGTGACACAGGAAAACATTCGCATTTTCTTTCCTATTTCACTAGCCCCGCCGTGATGGTATAGTAGTGAAGTTACTCGGCTGCTGACCCGCAGGTCGCGGGATCGAATCCCGGCTGCGGTGGCAGTGTTTTCGATGGAGGCGAAAATGTTGTAGGCCCGTGTGCTGTTGTAGGCCCGTGGGTTGTAGGCCCGTGGGTGCACGTCAAAGAACCGCAGGTGGGCGTAATGTCCGGAGCCCTCCACTACGGTGTCGCTCATAATCATATGGTGGTTTTGGGACGTTAGACAACACATATCAATTTTCTATTTTGCTGTTTTTTTTTAATTTATCAACCCTCCTATACGTAGCGCCACCATCCGAGATATGGCACGTAAACCACGTAAATGTTATTCCGCTGAGGTATAAGACGCTGTCAGCAACGAAAGTGTACTGCACGTTAATGCCTTTCCCTTAACCTCCGCTTTCACCCTAACGGTAAACTATAACTGTTTATTGTCACTTGCTCACCAGGTACGGCGAGCGCGAGCCAGCGACCAACTGGAATGGTAGATGTTCTGGGACAGTGCTTTCTCTCTCGTTAGCTGTTGTTTGGGGAGCCGTCTTGCCAAACCATGGAGTTCATAATCACAGCTAAGTATGTTTGTGCTTTTATCCCCCCCACAAGTAGCCCACCAAAGGCACTCTGCTGCAGATTGCTTGCAGGCGTGTTGCAGTCATACTGGATTCCGTAGCCAAACTGCGGCGACTTTCTGCACAAAGAGTGTACCATGGCAGATAGGGGGGACAGAAAGCCTGCCATTTGTCTTTATGAACTTCCTACGTAGCTAAATGATGGTCTGTAGAATTTCTTAAGAAAAGCAGCAGCTTTTCTGGAGCCCAATGCGACAGCCGGCCATCTCGTAACTTGAAATCACTCAATGAAAAAGCGTTCGACATTTGACGAATGCAGATCAATACATGTGTGTTTTATGATTACCTAATGGTCACCATATATTAAAATGTGTTCTGTAGAAGTGTAACTTTGAAATTTTGTAACATAGCAATGTTCTTTCCCTCATTTAATGACAAAACAAGATACCATGTCTATGTTTATCGGGTGGTCGGTGTTCTACCACAGAAACACGACATTGCTCAAAACTACTTAGAAAAAAAAGCCATATTTATTTATATTTATTTATTTATTTACAGATACTGCTATCTCATGTTTGAGACATTGCAGGAGTGGTTACAATAAACGAACAAAAACGTCACAATTAAATAAAAAATATAAAAATTGCATTATTAGACACCTGTTCAACAAACAATAAATGATCAAACAAAAGGAACCACGGCATAATTAAGAACATCAATTTACATAATTGGACACTTGTTCAACAAACAGCGCATGCGGTAGCCGTTTCAAAGTAGCGTCCAGATTATTCCAAGTGTCAACTGTGCACGGAAAAAAAGAGTATTTATAACAATCAATAACACATCTGAATGGCACAATGTTCAACGGATTGAATCGGTGAGTCACATGGGTAGGATGATTGGTGAACGAAATGGGTGTGGCTATGCGGACGGAATTGTGCACGATGTTATGTAGCATGGTAAGCCGATCACACATACGTCTGTGTTCTAAACAGTTTAGCGATAAAGCACGGTAGTGCATTACATATAGATGTAATGTAGTGAAGCTTCCTTAGCGCATGCCATATTGAATGGCAGAATCCTAAAATCACGCTTAGCGTCAACGCAAGCGCATTGTGAAAGAAGTGAAGGACATTAAGCTGCCCACCCATCACGAGGTGCACACGGCACCTAGTGGAATAGTTGTGGTTGATTCACCAATTAGCGAAAGGAAGAAGTATGTTGAATAGGCACTTAACAAATGTACATCCAATTGACATTCCAGGATAGTTTGCCGCACAAACATGCCACACAGACGTTACTATTTTGTCACTTACCTCCGCACCTTCTGTATTCTGAGTGGCTCATGTTCTGTAAAATTTCTGCAAAAATGCCGTACTTATTTTCGTGAGGGAGGCCAGTTGATCTTCTTGACAAGTGCCCAGTAGGTTTGTCAATGTTTCCAATGTGTTTCAGTAGACTCATATTATATACGCTGGCTAGCTGCCTTCTAAAACGCTCTCGCAAACAATATCTGGAACTGAATCCACCAAGTGTTTTGTTCGTAAGTGTCCTTTGCTAGCGGTCGGCCACAGTTGCTAATGATACGTCCATCATCAGGATTGGCAGAGCTGTTTTCTTGCCATATGATGAAGGCAAAACTTTCAGCGATTCTGATACTCCACTTATTATTGCTGAGTGCAACCAAACATTTTCAAAGATGAGTTACGACTGTATGGCTTTATGGAGACAGTTTCCGATGTCAGTAACAACTTGTGTTCCCCAAGGGTGGTGGTTCCGTGATTGTCCTATAAATGTAGGGTCTGTTTCAGCGTGCACTGGTTGGATAGAAATAGAGACGGGGGCTTACCACGGGTGCCGGCCCGCTCACTATCAAAATTTAGTCAAATAGAAAATACTAAACTGAACAGTCCGCTTATTGCAATACCGTCCCTGGGGTGGTATTCTGTAAGTGTCAAGAGACTGGACTGGGGTAAGGGGGGTGCTTTGAATGCACATATGGGACATTAATTTCATAGCCACATTACTCCTGTCAAGCTGCTATTGTGTGAACTGTGTTATGCCTCGTACCTAGCTCCTCGTCTACAAAACGTAATTGCTCTTAAATGAACAACTTGCTTTTTAGCTGGTGTTTCCGATTGAATGTGAAGTTTTTAACAATTTAGATCAACTATGTTTTATTTATTGCCCAACGTTGAATTGTATACGTAAGCCCAATTACTGGCAGGAAAGCTCGCTAAGAAGAAAATTGCACCAACATCCTGCTAAATGGAACCATGTGTTCCATTTAGACCAGCAGCGGGGGGGGGGGGGGGGGGGGATGGTGAACGGCACCCACACAAACTCATCTACGTCACCACAAGCAGGCGCCAACATTCATAACCTCTACCTGACTAACGCAGCCGGTGACCATCGCTGCACTACAAGAACTACAACGTGGGCATTAACATTGTGGACAAATTCAAATGACTTGACAGCCATCGTCTCGACACCGACACTCAGCGTTGCCTGCGCGCTTTCCGAGAAGAAGTCGACTCCGAAACGGACTTCACTATAGCCCGGATAAACACATGGTGCCTCGACGCGCACGCCATAGAGATTGAACTTGATACAGTGCTAACCAAAGCAGTTGTGCTCTGTCTCACGATAAAGTGGAATGCCGCAAGACCAACAATAAACGGCCATGAAGTGATCGCCGCCAATGAGTGATCACGCTAGAGAGATCAAACGTGATAATGTGCTTATCAAAGCGGACGTGCTCTGTATCACGGAAACTTGGAACGATGCAAGACCGACGATCAACGGCTACAAAGTGATCGCGTGTAAGAAGGAAGCGTTTCGTTGCCTTCGCCCCCGACTCGGGGAGAGGTGAGGGAGCGTAGGAAATGAGGGAGAGAGGGACAGGGGTGCGCACGCGCAGTGAGATTGTGGACGCCGCACACCAAGGGACGAACAAAGCCCCGCCATAAGCTGCTTCGCATTTAAAAGTAAGTTCACTGGCGAGTCAGGATGGGTTGGGGGGCATACATACGGCAGAGACTTCTAAACGATGACAGGCAACCTACCACTGCTCCTAAAGCTGAATGTATACAAGTACTGCGTGCTACCCTTTCGAACATATATATGGCTGGAGCTTGAAGGTAACCAAGAAACCCAAGAAAAAGTTAACGATCACGCAGCTTGCAGGAATAGGTATTATGTTTGGCGCCACCTTAAGAGGCCGGAATACAGCAGAATAATAGGGGAAAAAACAGGGGTAATAGATTTTTATTTTATTTTTATACATATACCTACAGCGCCCTCTGGGGGCATTATTGTAGGGGGGTTTACAAATTCAAAGTACATATAAATCAGTGGGGACAAGTTGAATTGCACGGCACTCAAAAAATAAAAACAAATCAAAAACACCTAAATCATAGCATACAATATCGTTATGTGACCACATACTCCAAAAAGGGAAGGAAACGCTGTGGAAAGGGTGGTCACAATGTTTTTTGGAAGACCGTTTCATTCGTGAATAGCTTTAGGAAAAAAAGTATTTGCAAACGTTGATGTTCGGCACATATATTCACACACCCTCAAAGGATGGTCCCGTCGTGGTGAGATGTATGTTGGTAGTCTGATGTATTTGCCTTTATTGATCCCAGTTTTGTCGTTTATTAGGTTGTAGAAAAGACATAGATGTTCTATTTGACATCAATATTAACAAATGGACCTGAGCCGGTCACGTAATACTTAGTGCAAAGAACCAGTGGTCAGCTAGAGTGACGGAGTGGTTATCGGGAGGTGGAAACAGCCGTGACGGAAGCTAACCAGAGGTAGTGACGAAATCAGGAAGTTATCGATGAAAAAAAGGGATCTTTTTGGGAAAGCATGGTAAGTTGAAAATAATTGGGACTGGGCTTTGGGGGGGGGGGGGGGGGACTTTCTTGTGTGACGTGGGGGCCGGGATGGCAGATGCGGTTGAGGCTCGTGTTCTTTGTGCCATGACAAAAATATTAGGGAGGGGGCGCAGGCTCAGTGTGCCACCCCTTAGCTACACCTATGATGTATTGTAAGTGGGAAGGTGGATGGCTAATCATATTTAAAATACGTTTTTTTTTCACCTGGAACCACACCAAAGCACAGCGCTTTCACTAACAACGCTAGGTATCGGCAAAATGGAATTGTATTATAGTGAATGTTTCCGAAAAGCAGCTGCTACGTGGCGGGAAAGGTGTTCTCGAAAAAAAAACAATGATGCAACCGTCCATGCATCGCTGCAACACAATAAAAGAAATCTTACAATGCTCTATTCCTGGGCACATGCCCACCACCTGGACAACACTGACTCTGCGCACATTTTTCTTTGTTGTTGTTCTTTTCTTTCTGTCTCTCTCTCTCTGTTCAGCATGACGTTTTTACCATGTTTGTAATACAAAAGCGAGTCATCGCGGCCAGATCGCAACAACATTCTCTGTACTTCGACAGGGCCAACCACAGTCGCGAAATTAAGCAAAAGAAAAAAAATCCCTAGGCGAGGCTGCGGGCAGAGATGGCAATACGCAGAACAATGCCGTCTGCCGACTTCACAGGCGCCGACGCAGCATCGCGGCGCACTCTCTTGTGATGGTTGGCTGCCGATGATCGAGGAGCCTATGAACGCCTTCTTTACCATGACAGCTGCAATGTTGCTGTTGTTGCTCTTGTCATTCTCGCTTGGTGAGTACAAATCGATAGTATCACTAACGTCACATGCTTGGCACACTTTTTGATGAACTTCAGACCTAAATCACGCCATTTATTTGTTTATTTCGATGCTACTTCAAACCAAAAGCAGCATAGCCATACTTGTCAACTCTTTGGAGTAGTTTGGCCAAAATCATCAAAACGTTTTATTAGCAATTGCGGCCTGTGATCGACGAGGCCCCACCACAGGTCATACATTACAATTGGCTTGAATTTGCCCTTAGAGGCAAATACAGTGTAAGACTTTCCAACGTGTACGAACTCTTCTTATCAGAAAAGTCTGAGAAAAAAATCACGCCATCTCTCGCTAAAGTTAACCGAGTGTAGATGCGAAGAAGCGGGCGCTGACGATGACATGGGCGGCGGTGTTGACGCTGGCGCTCATCGCGGCGTTGGCAGGAGAGAAACCTGCAGATCCGCAAAGCGAGCAGTGATAGACCGGTTTTTCCTACTGGAGCACGTCAAACACTGCTAATGGGCGATACGAGACAGAATACTCCGGTTGTACACAGAGACCCACAGTCAGCATTCAGTTAACGCGCACACTGGGAATGTTTATTATGCAACGACGCACAGGGCAAGTCTCCCTCCGGCGCTACCTTAGAGGTCGAGATCCAGTGCACATATACGGGCGTCTAGTAAACGATTTTGCAGCACGAGCAGTCTCTATTTTCAATGAGGAATGCTGATTTCGATAAAACATAAAGTGAGAGGTCCATAGGACGGCTTTATGCTCTCCCATAGTAGAGTACCAAGTTTTCTAAATCGTTATCTAGACATGCTTAGCAGCGACATTTGTGAGCTGATGTGTATGCGTCTTTCTGTTCTACCATAGCAGAATACCAAGTACTATGAGTCGTTATACACTTGCTCTAAACACTCGCTAGCAGATGATGCCTGGTTCGGTGTTACGAGGCGAGAGAAGAGTAGAGGTGCATGCGCAATGGAGTTTTAAACGACGCGGGGAGGAATGCCTCGAGGAGAAGGAGGAGGGAGTGAGCGCAGGTTAGCAGACGCACCCTGCTTCGTCGTTGTGAGGCGAAAGAGGGAAGAGCGTGAGAGAGGAGAGAGAAGGGGAGTGGACGAGCATGCGCATTAAAGGTGGTCACGCCGCACAGCGGATTGAGCTCGACCCTAACTGCTTCGCATCTAAAATGTAATACCACAAAAGGCGTCATTTAGTGCATTTGCGGCGTGGGTCTAGCATTAGCAACAAGACGGAGAACTGATTTACAGCCCCGAATCTTTACATTTGCGCCACTCAGATACACTGTACTGTGACTCAACCTCGAAGCTGTTGGAGTCGAGTGCACAAATGTTTTGCTCGTAATGGCTAACGTGTAAAGTTTTCTACGCTTATAGTACGTCTTTACGAAAAACCTATAGTACGACAGTGCTGAGTCAATCATGGGTAGGCAAACAAAAGTGAAGGTCACTCAGACTAAGTCGAGAAATATATCCTGCGCTTTAGACTCACTCGGACTCAGACTCACAGCTCGACATCAGACTGCGTGAGTTAGAGTGAGTCTGCTGACGAGTGAGTTGCAAACTAATGGAGTAATTACGGGCCCTGAACTTTTATTTTTGTGAGTAAAATATTACGCTGTTTCCATCTGTGCAAACTCTGCGTATAGCGTTAAAGTAATGCAATCACGAGAAAAGTGGAAAGAATAATATAATAATATGCGAGGTTTCACGTCCCGAAACCACGATGTGATTATGAGAGACGCCATAGTGGAGGGCTCCGGAAATTTAGACCATTTGGTGTTCGTTGACGTGCACCGATATTGCACTGTATACACGGACCTTTACCAGTTCGCCTCCATCGAAATTTGGCTGCCGCATACTGAAGAGGCTGACTGGAAAATGGAAATAAAAAATAATAGTTGCAACCTTAAAGCACGAGAAGAAAGCCGAAAATTGTATGTTTTAGGGTTCGTTTTTCCTTGTTAGACACAATATTAACGAGACCTAACAGACAATAACCTAACAGACAAACGTAAAGGGAAGTTACTAGACCTAATTGTAATGTAAATGTGCCGAAAGAAAAGTGAATGAAAAGATAACTTGCCACGGGCAGGAACATAACATGCGACTTTCGAATAACGCGTCTGATACTCTACTGACTGAGCTACCACGGCAGCTGACCCGCTGTTCACTTTGTGGAGTATGCACTGACCTGGCCGTTTCGATAATGGTATCAATACCAAACTACGTATGCCATATCATGACTGTATGAAGAACATGTTTGACTAGTCATAACATGAAAATAATGACATGTACGTCATGAATGTCATGATTTACATTTCATGGTCCTGCACCTCTTGCGGTTGCTTCGTTCACATGGCATGTTGCAAAACTGGTATGTTGAGACATGATTGCATGGCGAACACAAGCGGCAGACCATCACATGATAATCATGACATGCGTGTCATGTAACAAAATGACTACATGATGCGCTCGCAACCGTTTTGCCAGCGTCACATATACCAAAATTGGTATTTCAGTACGTGAATGGATGACGAAAGTATGTAACTGATGAAAACATGATAATCATGAGATACGTATCATGTAACAACATCACCATATGCCACGCTCATGATGCGCTGGCGGCTGTTTCACTAGCTTCACTTATACCAAATTTGGTATTACGGGACGTGAACGGATGACGGAGGTAAGATAATGGTGCAAACATGATGAACATGAGATGCGTGTCATGTAACAACATGACTACATGCTACACTCATGATGCGCTCGCGGCCGTTTCACTAGCTTCACATGTAGCAAACTCGGTATTACGCGGACGCGAACGGACGACATGGGTAAATGACACATACAAACATCATAATCACGACATGCGTGTCATGTAACAACATCACTATACATGCCACGCTGATGATGCGCTCGCGGCCATTTCGCTAGCTTCACTTATGCCAAATTTGGTATTACGTGACCCCAGTGGATGACGAAGGTATGTGACTGGTGCAAACATGATAAACATGAAATGCGTATAATGTGAGAACATGACTACATGCCACAGTCAAGGCGCCAATACATTTCGACGTGACGCGGTGCGTGTGCTCGCCGGCGTTCATTTCGTCGTGTTATGCCGGCCTTGCCACGCCAGCCACCGGTCCTACAATATACTCGCAGGCACGCGCCCCGCAGCGTTGCTTTGACGCATGCGCGTTTCAGCGCGTCCGGCGTCCCTCCGTCATGAAAAGAGGGAGACGCCGTGTTGTCTAGGTAACGCATCAGCGTGAAATGCAACATGTCGCATTTCGCGCCGGTTGCCGTCGGGCTGCGCCAACGGACGCTGGTCGCGCCTGGCGTCAGGTTTGAGAGTGCTCGAGTTGTGCTAACGTAGCGTCGCTGTGCCCAGCGTGCACGCGAGTCAACGCTACATTGGAGTACATTGGGCTGTTCATGATGTACTCGCAGCCATTTTGTTAGCTCCACATATACCAAATTTGGTGTTACGTGACGTCAATGGATGACGAAATATATGATTGGTGCAAACATGATAATCCTGACAAGCGTGCCATGTAAGAACATGACAACATACCACGCTCATAGCGTGCTCGTGGCCGTTTCGCTAGCTCCACATATACTAAATTTGTTATCACGTGACGTGAATAGATGACGAAGGTAAGTGACACATCCAAACATGATAATCGTGACACGGAAGTCATGTACGGCATCATTTACCTCCACCTCGTATCGTTGTGCTGATTTTAAAGTTACATATCAACATTTCTCATTCGTGCTTCGCATATAATCGATTGCCACTGTACGTGGTATCTGCGAATTTTTTTCTAAACACACACTTGAGAGCGTCAGTCAGCGCTGCTAGTAGCCATGGTGGCGAGTGTGGAACACTTTTTATCAGTCTGTTCAGCGTCACGTAGCAGCTTAATCTATTACGAGCTGGCAGCTGACCAACAACCTCTCGTATACTACATGAAGGCACAAAATATGCCAGAACGAGACCCTCACTGTGAATGAAGGAAATAACTGTATATTGAAGGGCTTATTTCGACACAATATTAATGAGAGAACATTAAAGAGATCCAATTGGTATAGGCAACGAACCCATCAATCCATTTAGCTGGGCTGCTTGGTGCTGATTTAATGCTTCCGTAACAGTAGCAAACGCGCACAAAGACTGCACAGGAAACCACTTGACCACTTCTCAGGGTGAACGACAAACGCTTGTTAAGAACACCTTAGTCGAAATTAAAGAAGAAATGGCCATGGGCATAGAATATAGCTATAAGGCAATATAATTGCTGGTCATTAAGCGTAACAGACTGGATTCCAAGGGGAAGCACGCGCACAAAGCCGAGGCGGAAGGTTAAGTGCCGGACAGAGTACGTTGGAAAGTTTGCTGGTGATAACCCGGCAACAGCAAACACAGGACATACAGTAGCAATATTTCTTAACCCTGAAGCATCAGTGTTCTGTGGTCTTTTATATGGCCCGTCATAGCGCGAATAGCCTGCTCTATTCGTCATGATGTAGATCATACGCCTAAGACCTTTGTTCTGTGGCTGAAGAGTGTAAATAGCGCATGTCGAGAGTTATTGGCTCACAGCCATTCGAGCCCACGTTCGTAAGCATAAATCGTGATGTTTTGACGGACAGTGAGAGTGGCGACGTTAGGTACCTTGAGTATACCAAAGTCGTGCTTCCAAAAGCAGCACGTATGCAACCAAATGACGTTAACATTTAATAAACTGCGCTACATTATATGTGTTATTGGGGAGCTCCAACAGGAAGAGTTCGTTTATATTTTCTGCACTTCTTCTCAGTCGAACTCACAATTAATGCTCTCCTTATGCAAGTGTCTGCCGTGCTGGAGCAGTGGTTACGGTGCTATAGGCTGCCGCTTCGAAGGTCGCGGGTTCGATGCCGACCGCTGCAGTAGCATTTCGGTGGAGGCGATGTGGTAGAAGCCTGTGTATTTGTGAAGT